CCTAAGGGTTTTACATGAACCCTTTAAAATACAGAAAAAACTATAAATAAAATTAATAGAAGAAAACATTAGCAGGCTAAGAGTGGAAAAGGTCAGAAGTTACAAACTATAAAAGCAAAAGCGATTGGTGAAATTGATTGCATCAAAAGAAAGGATTTCTGGTCAACAAGGGATGCCATGGACAAAAGTAACAACTGAGAAAGATACATGCAATGTGTAAGGCCGGTGAGGGTCTGATATCTAGATCTGACAAGGGACTCTCGAAAATCATCAAGGAAAAAGAACTGTGGTTGAAAAATCAGCAAAGAATATGAACAGGCAGTTAACTGAAGAAAACCTAAAAGGCTAAGAAATATATGAAGAGATGCTAACACTTACAGTTAATTAGAGGAATGCAAATTAAAACAACCATACAACCTCACTTTACACTCAAGACATTAATAAAAGTGAGAAAGCTGGATAATGCCAAGCATGACCAGAGGTCTGCTGCTGGGGTGTGGGGGGATGGGGGAGTGGGGCAGCATTTAAGAGAGTACTCTGGCAGGAGGGGGAGGGGTCAGATTAAGCAAAAGCCCAACCTATAATCCAGCTCTCCTGCTCCTGGGTCCAGGCTCAGCAAGATTATCTCAAAGATGATTAAGGGGACGTGTGCAAAGATGCTCTTGTGATTATGTTTGTGTAGCCAGAGCCGAGTCAATCCCCCTGTCCATCACTGGGAGCGTGGGTAGAAACAGTGCACCCACACGGTGAGATAGAAGCCGTAAGGACAAGTAATGGATTATATGTGCACACAGCAGCCGCCAGGAGTCTTTCAAAGCATGATGCTTGTTGGGGGGGAGGGGAGGGTGAGGGACACAAAGTAAAACTTTTAGCCAATAGCATTTTGTAAATTTTTTAAAAAACATGTACACGAAACAATATATGCCTCACAAAGACACAAACAAATTGCACATCTACACAGTCACATGGTTGCAGATTGCGAGTGGAAAATGGGAAAGAGGAATGAGGACAAAAGGCAGTAAGAACATAAAAAAGCAAGAAAGGTCCTTGGAAAAACTAGAAAATGCCCGGAACTGGGGAGGAGTATGAGTAATTTAGCCTTCTGCACCTCTGGCCCAAACTAAAGAAAACAAAGCAACAAAGAAAGACCGAAAGTTGCCCTAGCTGGTTTGGCTCAATGGATAGAGCATCGGTCTGAGGACTGAGGGTCCCGGATTTGATTCCAGTCAAGGGCACATGCCCGGGGTGGGGGCTAGATCCCCAGTAGGGGGCATGCAGGAGGCAGCAGATCAATGATTCTCTCTCATCATTGATGCTTCTATCTCTCTCTCTCCCTCTCCCTTCCTCTCTGAAATCAATAAAAATATAATATAATAATAAAAAATGTTTTTTTTTAAAGAAAGACCGAAAGAGCTGGGGGGGGAGGGGGGCTCCGCAAAAGCGGGAAAAGCTGTTTCCAAGCCGCACACAACTAGGGTGTGAGCTGTCCATCTGTTTGAAGGAAATGATCGACCTAGTGGTGAGGGGCCCACAGAGGAGGGGAGGATTGGGCAGGGAGGCAGCCCCAGGGAAACCCCTGAGCACAGGTGGCCCAGGGGCTTTGAGGGTCTCTGGTGCAGAAACCGGGGTTAAGTTACACACTGCAATTCCCTCCGGAGTGCCCTGTCCGCATGAAGTGAAACCAAGGGTCCTTATGACTTCGATTAAATTTAGTTTTAAATCCTAGCCCTAGAAATCCTCTCTCTCTCTCTCTCTCTCTCTCTCTCCTATATAATAAAAGCCCAGTGACGGAATGGCAGAAAGACCAGAAGGACCGGAACAACTATGGCCCCTCGCCCTGGCTGGCCCCACCTCCCAACGGGCCGCCCTCCCAAAATGGGGGCTCCCATCGGGGCAGGCCACTTGGACCACACCAGTGCACAAATTCATGCACCAGGCCTCTAGAGCATCGGTTCTCAACCTGTGGGTCGCGACCCCTTTGGCAGTTGAACGACCCTTTCACAGGGGTCACCTAAGACCATCCTGCATATCAGATATTTACATTATGATTCATAACGGTAGCAACATTACAGTTACGAAGTAGCAACGAAAATAATTTTATGGTTGGGCCACAACATAAGGAACTGTATTTAAAGGGCCAGAAGGTTGAGAACCACTGCCCTAGAGTGTGTGTGTGTGTGTGTGTGTGTGTGTGTACACACACACACACACACACACACACACACACACCCTCCAGATAACCAGCAACCTCCCAGGCAGCAGAAGACAGTAAGACTAATGGGCACAGGGTCGGGCTTCTGGCAGGCTAAGGATAACATCTTGACCTAAGTTATGTTTCAATGCCTGAGCCCTAAGGTGGAACCACCTCTTGGCTACTTTCCCATGAGACCAGACAGAGGGACACTGGGAAAAACCTAGGAACTGTCCTCAAGACCTGCAAAAATTATTCATTATCCTTACCGCTGACCAATCAGCCCCCGGCACCACCCGAACCCCTAACCCACAGTGTCTGTTATTTTGCCCTCTGTAATCTGTGATCTAGCTGGGAAAAACCTAGGAACTGTCCTCCAGACCTGCAAAAATTATTCATTATCCTTACCTCACCTCCGACCAATCAGCCCCCGGTACCACCCGACCCCCTAACCCAGTGTCTGTTATTTTGCCCTCTGTAATCTGTGATCTACATGCCATGGGGGAGTGCGGGCTTTTGAGCATGAGCTTCTGGCAGTACTATGTCTCTGGGAAGAGAAATATCTGGGGTCAAGGCCAAGTTTTGGCCACATGCCAATGAGGAAAGAGGAAAGAAACAGAATGGAGTCCCTATCGTCAAGCTAACAAAACCACTCAGAATAAAATAGCCAACATTTCTCAGTGTCCAGTGTTTGGCTCTGCTAGCGCTGAGTGCACGAACTCTTTCTGTTCTGCAACATAAGGGTCTATGCCCACCAGGGGGCCCCAGTGAGACTGTGAGAGCAGCTCTTCCCCAGGGCTCTGCGGTGGTGGCGGCAGTGACCTGGGCAGGTAGGTGCTGCCAAAGCTGCCCTGAGCGGCCTCGGACTGAGGCTGGCAGGCCAAGAGGAGCTGGATGCCCAACTCCCAGAGAAGGAAAATCTGAAGGGCAGCTGCTGAGGAACAGGGCTGAGGCCATTGCCACCAAAGTAGAGGCTTCTTCATGCCCACAGTCCAGCCAAGCCAAGGAGACATTCAGGGAAACACATTATACCTCATGTCATGTATTTTAATTAAAAAACAAAACAAAACACAGAATCATAATATACTGCTCTGTAACATACTTTTGGCAACATTTTCTATGATACTAAATATTCTTCTAAAACAATACCACTGTTTTATAGGATACATGCCAGTTACTTATTACTCAGCCCCAGGCCCATGGTGCTTCTCTAGTGTTTGGTTTCTCAGCTCTTCCATCACCTATATAACCAAGTCCTTGTTTTATTTTTATTTTTTTATTGATTTCTGAGAGGAAGGGAGAGGGAGAGATAGAAACATCAATGATGAGAGTGAATCGTTGATTGGCTGCTTCATACATGCCCCACAACCTGTGCATGTGCCCTGACCGGGAATCGAACCTTGACCTCCTGGTTCATAGGTCCATGCTCAATCATGAAGCCACTCCAGCTGGGCCCAAGTCCTTGTTTTAAAATGTTTGAATAAAGTGGATTGTCTTCCTGACTTGACCCTGATACAAAATGAGCCGATCCACCATAGGGAGCGCCCCCTTTTTGCTATTAAAAATCATACAGTAGTCAATACCTTTACAGCCAAATCTTAGTCTCCAATTATGTGTATTTCTTCTGCACAGATTTCTAGAAAATTATCCAAAACATGTTTTGATGTGTATTGCCTTTTTCCCTCTTAAATGATTGTACTAATTTGCACCCCCCCCCCCCACAGCATGAGAATGCTCCCTTAAACTCTCCAAATTGAAGTTGGAAAACTAGGGTCTCATTTTAATTTCTTTCACCACTAGTGAGGGTCCATTTTTTTCCCCAGCTATCTCTAGCATCCTGTTACCCTTGGTCAGTTTCCTCCCTATGATTGTCAGTCAAGCAGGGCCATGTCAATGTCAGTGGGTATCACTGGGGACTTGCGAGGAATTTATTTCCCAGGTTTGTGCTTTGCATATTAGGGAGACGAGGAAGGTTGGTAGGGAGACCATAAAGGCAAGTGCTCTTTAGATGTTCATGTAAGGGCTGTCTATCCTGGGTGCGAATTACATGCGCCTGCAGAAAGCAGCCAGCACCTCGGAGGGTTCTGCTAGATCTCAACAAACTGCTTAAGCTGTAGACGTCAGGGCCAGCTGTAATTCTTCAATGGTGTTTGAAACCGAGGGGCCAGGGAAAGTCATCTTCCAGTTGCAGAGCTGCATTTCTGGGAAGAGAAATATCTGGGGTCAAGGCCAAGTCCTGGCCACATGCCTCTGAGGGAAGAGGGAAGAAACAGAATGGAGTCCCTATAGGTAAGCTAACAAAACCACTTAAAATCAGAGCGGCTGAGACACGAGGAATCGATTTCATCTCACTTTAGTAGCCTGCGAACTTCAACTTTGGAACTCTCATTTGTGCATCAACATCTGGGTATACATAAATCCTCTAGATAACCCTCTGAAGAAGTTAGGAAGGATTATTTCATTGTCCAGAACATCGGGTATCTGGAAGATATCCAGAAGCTAAAAATGCAGAACTGATTCTTTTCAAGAGTGTGCTTTTTTTACTATAAAAGCTCTCAACCTTCCTTTTTCTCCAGAATACTCTGGGTTTTAGCTGGTAGTGTTTCCTGAACTGCAATCCGCTTTAAGGCCCTTGAATAAAACTTTGTCATTTCATTCTGGCGAAGCCGCCTACTTCATGTGTACACCTGTCCAAGCACATGCAGTCAAAATCATGACACCCATACGTGATTCATACTGGCCAGGAAGTACTTATATGCCCCAAACACGTGACTACCCTCTTGCAAATACTCATGAATCACACATGGAGTATTTTGAAAAATGTTAACATTTATTAATAATACTTAACGTCACATTGTTAATGCAACTAATTCTTTATGGTACACGACAACATCTTCACTAGACCGAGTGCTCGAGGATTTGAGACGACCCGCTATTCGGCACATCCCAGTCCAAGATTGAGATTCCCTGTATTTACATCAGGCAGAGCAGCATCAGCAAGGAACGGTCACCTAGTTGTGGGAACACAGACACTCAAAGCGCACTTGCCAGTGTTCCTTTTTGGAAGCCTACCACACATCTTTCATAGCCACACACAGCTCGACCTTTAAAAAATGAGCAATTTCCTAGAAGAAGCCTAACTGTCCAGTTTTAAAGGTTAAAGTTCATCTCTATTTCTTGGGCATCCTTTAGTGACACACAAATCTAGACACTGTTCTCAATACAAATTGGATAAATGTGCAAGAATTGGGTGCTGTTGAAACTTGTCTCTTCCATCTTTCTGTCCTGACCCTTGTGTCCTAGTCCACAGTGTTGCAAGGCCATTCCTTCTTGATAATTCAGTATTCAGGCTCAATGCGTGTGGGCCTATTTTAGGGATGAAGTGGGCTTAAGGATTCAGAATTACCTTCACTCCTGGAGAGCAGGGTATGGAAGGTTTTATACTGCTTCCCCCAGCAATTTGGAATACATACTGTGTAAAAACAGCTCCGGCTAAAGAAACCCTCCACACGCTCCTTGTAAAACATTTACAAACCCAATTTTTCTAGGACACAACTCTCCAAAGTGCTGTCCCCGAGGCTTCATTCCATTGTTTATTTCATTATTTTGGTTTGTTATCAACTGTCAGGCACAATTTTTTTTAAAAGTGTTTTTGGTGGCTTCTCTTGTCTTGTTAGAGAGCTTTAAAAGTCTACCGAATGCCTTAAGAATAAAGGTTCCATAGTCTGAGTCCTTTGGTTAACATCCGGGTAATATTGCCCCAGGAAAGTTCCTACAGAGCAGCTAGGGCTGGGATTTCTTCAACCCATAGGCCCAGCCTCCTTCGCTCTCTCCCTTGCTTTCCGCATTCCAGAGTCTGCAGGGAAAGGAGGAACCGGGAGGGAGTTGCTTGGCCATTCACTCACCATGAAGAGCTTCCCTTCTCTTCCCACAGGCGAATGAGGTATTTCTACTAACCAATCAGCATCTTCTCCTTCCATCCTTTAACTACCCATCTACTAGTAGGCCAGGTCTGAGGAGACCCTGTGTATCTATATACATGGCAAACTAACATATAAATACATACATACAACCGATCATTACATCCAGTATCCAGATGAGGAAGCACACGTGCTTTGTGGAACTAAATAAATTTCAAACATAAGTTAAAATGAAAATACAGTGTTTACACTTCTGTAGGAAACGTTTTTTAAAAACAGACCAAGACGTTCCCCACCCTCCCCTCAAGGTCCATTGCCCATGGATGACTGGTGAACGAACCCACAAGGAGATGCAACAAGTCCATGCGCACGACGTGTCAGCTCGTGGCTTTGGTATTGCACGCTCAGACTCAGGACGCTCCGATTCCAGGAACAGCCACCCACCAGGCAATGCTTGCGGATGAGGCTGAAGAGGGGCTTTCGCATGGCGATCCAGGACTTCCCTCCATGGCGCCCCTCCCCTCCCCCAAGTTCTGCCAGTGGGAGAACCAGGCTCAAGTTAGTGGAGACCTCCCAGGTCTCTGAGAAACAGTGCCAACCTCCGTGCTGGGGGATGTTCTCCACCTAGAAATACCATGTTCGGGGTCCAAGGTGAAGCAGCCAGGGTTCAAGGTGAAGCAGCCATATTTTTTCATTAGTGTCCCACCCTGCAGGATTGTACAGGGACCTGGAAGTTGGCGGAGGGGGGGGGGGGGGGTTAACTAAAGGTTAAAATTTGTTCTAAGTTTTAAGAGAACCAAGGGGAATGGTTGTGACTAATGTGAACAAACCTGTACTTCAAATGGCATTTTTCTCAGGAGGGCCAAGGTGTGGGCACCAAACTCTACAGTGAGGACACACAGAGACAAAACGCAGGCTGGCAGGGTCCCCTCTGCCAAGGACGAGCTAAGAGTCTGTCTCTGACACAGGGGATGGCATCTCAATTTAAAGCAGGGGAGATGGGAACCAGAGGAAGTCCCTGCCGAGACTTCGGGGACTCTATCGCTGTCCGGCCTCGCGGATGCGACAGGCCACCGCAGTGATGAGAGCCGCCCCCTTCCCGCTGCCGTCCTCCGACTCCAGGAAGGACACGTCACACCTCGGAGCCAGGTCCTTCACTGTCGCATGCATGACTTTGGCAAAGCTGGAGGTTGGGAAGAGACAGGAAAAAAACCTTAGTCACGACTGCTCTGTGTCGCAGAGATGAGACCCTGTGAAGTGACGCTGGAAACCCAGGGATACTTAAATGAAGAAGAGAATGACAGCTACCGTGCACTAAATAAACACTTACTACAAAGTACATATCAGAAAACAGGCTTGGAGCCACTAGCGAAATGCCCAAATTCTACATCAGAGCAGGCGAGTGGAGGGCTAAGATCGAAACCTCTGAGATTTGGGCGAGTTATGTTCTTAAAACTACTCAGTGAAAGAGGCGTTCAACCATCACGAACAGAGAGAGAGGGAGAAAGACGGGCAGGGAGCGTGGTCACTCACTGAGGATGGAGCTTGTAGAGGGTTCCGTCCACACCCACTGTCACTTTCAGAGTGTCCAGCCCACGGTTTTCTCGTATCTTGTCCACCACGGCGGCCATGCCTGCGCCACAGAGCTGGGCTGCCCGCCGCGCCACGACGGCGCACACCTCCTTGACGATGATGCTGTCGTCACAGGTGCTCTCGAGCCCCAAGTGGTGCAGGATGGCTCGGACCTGCAGCAGGGCCAGGCAGTCACTGGGGTGGGAGGGAGACAGCAGGCGGTTAGTCACGTGCCAGAGGGGTCAGGAGCCTGGCCATGCAGGAGCTGGGATAAAGGCCAGCGCCCTGCAAGGTGGCTCCTATTCTGAGCTCATCCCATGGGACCAAACACACTCTTCCTGGGTGCAGCTGTGACACGAAGAAACAGCTCCCTATTCCACTTGGCCGAGATCAGGTGCAGCTACTACAGCTACCGTAGTTTTGATACACAAAACAAAAGGAAATTCGCCGTCTAGGTATTCCACTCACTTAGAGAAAACAAAGACAAGATAACGCTCATGTGGCAGTTGTCGGTTGCAAAGCTCTCTCACGTCCATTCTCCCAATGCTGTGCGTGGGTCAGCAAGACAAGCATCACTGGCCAACATCAGATCCATGTTCTATTCCTACTCCCCCACCCTGGGTGGTCTGAAATCCACTTGAGTAATATTTACGAAACAAATGTAAATAAAACTGTAGGAAGAAATAAACCCTAGTGCAGTGATGGCGAACCTTTTGAGCTCGGCGTGTCAGCGTTTTAAAAAACCCTAACTTAACTCTGGTGCCGTGTCACATATAGAAATTTTTTGATATTTGCAACCATAGTAAAACAAAGACTTATATTTTTGATATTTATTTTATATATTTAAATGCCATTTAACAAAGAAAAATCAACCAAAAAAATGAGTTCGCGTGTCACCTCTGACACGCGTGTCATAGGTTCGCCATCACTGCCCTAGTGTATAAAGGGCAGTACTCGAGAACAAGGGAGTTATCTACATAAGCAGACATGTAGAATATGTCCTTTCTATGTGCATACAGCCTCAGGCCCCACTCATGTCGGTTCCTGTTTTTCTATACGCCTGAGAGTAATGACAGAGCATTAAAGTTTAAAGGGCTCTGAAATTCACTGTTCTAATTTGGAGCAGACTCTTCTGCCATTAGACTGGAGAGGGAAGGATTTGCTATAACGAGCCGCCACACGGCCTCTTCGGCATTGCCTGACGAGCCACCTGCACGCAGTCCCGGGTGCCTCTTTACTGCGGCAGCAGGAAGGAAGACCCTCGGCCACGCCTAAGTGCTTTAATGGGTTCTCTTCCTCTGTGCATTCCGATTTGCCTCTTATGAGCAGGTCTCTTTCTAACTTTGATATTTGATCTGAGACCCAGTATGACTTTGCAGGGGCTCATGCCAGCTTAGCCTAATTTTTCATGGGAATGTTATATGTTTCCCCTTAAAATGACAACTGTCCATAAGACACTTGAAATATAGCCTGGTCACCGTGGCTCAGTGTTTGAGCATCAACCTATGAACAGGAGGTTACGGTTTGATTCCTGGTCAGGGCATATGCCCAGGTTGTGGGCTCGATCCCCAGTAGGGGGCATGCAGCAGGCAGCCAATCAATGACTCTCTCTCATCATTGATGTTTCTATCTCTCTCTTCCTTTCCCTTCCTCTCTATTGATTATATATAATATATATTAATATATTAATATATATAAATATATATATATATATATTAAAGTACTTGGAATATACACTACAGATATGAATGTGCCAGCATCTAAACTGACCTGTCTGTAAGCCACGCCCTGATAGAACCTGCAGCGTGTCTGTCCATGAAGAGGACATGGCCGTACCCTACTCCAGGACCGAAATCCTCACCTCTCAATCTGAGACAGGAACTTGGTTTCAAAGATTCCCCTTGTCTTGAGTCGCTCTGAGATGCGGCCACGGAAGAGCAGCCCACGCTTGGTGAAGTCAATGAGGATGTTTCGGACAATCTCGCCCAAGTACATGCCACTGATCATTTTCTCAAACCTGCAATGCGGGTGACATCCATGGAGATTAAGTAGGAAGGTGGTGGGATGTGATGAGACACGACAGACCAATTCAGCCCCCTGGCACATGTGACAGCAGAGGGGTGCAGATTCCCTGTGGTGGGAAGGGAAATGCTACCCGACTCACAGGATTTCTCGTGTTCGGTGAAGCTGGCTACAGTGCCGGAGGCCCATGGGGTCCCTGGGATTGGCCCACCTTCTGGGCTCATTTTCCTTCCAAGGCTTATTCCTGACACCTCAAGAAGGAATATAAACCCAAGCGAACACCCTTCCAGGAGAAGGGGAGGAGTCTTAGCCCTTAACCTCACTAGGCATTTGGCATGCTTTCTCCTACACCTAATTATCAGCTAAGTAACTCGTGCCAGCTGGAGTCGTCCTGTCCTGGCCCCAAAACTGAATGTGATTACTCAGTGGCTGAGGGCCTTTGGGCCCCGAGGAGCCCTTACAAAAGTCGAGGTCCCCAGTTTCAACCAAGACCCCCTTGCTACTCTGTCTTGCTTTACCCCAGCGTGTCCTTCACTAATGTTGTCTGTGACCTCTACTCGACACAGATGTTTTGCGAAGTATATTGCACAGTACATTGGTCCCTGATTAATGTAGTCAGGGAACACTACATCTTCCTAGTGGGAAGCGTGCTGGATCTTACACTAGTCTCTCAGCTCAGATTCCCCCCACATCACACGAGGGGCTTTGTGGTGCTTGCTGGGGGTGGCACCTCGTTCAGTCCCGACAACAGAGGGCGCTACATACTGGATGGAGGGAGGAGGAGGAAGAGGTCTGCTCCTGCCTGCTTCTTGTTCCCATCTGCCTCACCCCAGCAGTGCTTCCTTCTTCGCCCTGGTAGCATGACTGGTTCAATTCTCATTTGTTTTTTCCACCGTCCCAGACCTAGGTCTTAACTCTCTCCATGACCTGTTCTCACAGTCCTAGGGGCGGGAGCTGCTTCTTACATGTACTAACTCTGTGTCCCCTTTTGTTTTTTCATCCCTCTAAAAACTCTGTGACCAGTTCCCTGTATGAAATCCCCTCGAAATATACTGTTGTGATTTGTTCTCCCAACTGGGCTTGGAACGCATCACCATCCAGCAGGGGGAAAAGGACCCAGAACTTTCCAGATGTATTGGATAAGAAATCCTTCCCAAGGAAATCCTTTCTATTAACATCTCAACATGTTGAAGAGGATCTGATTACTTGTCTCCATCCAGTTCTGGGATACACGACCCAGAGGCCACAAGCAGTTGGGCGCCTACCTCTGTTTGCCAGGGTTGAGGGAAAGCTCATCCACAGCCACATCAAATTCCGTGCGGAAGTCATCTAGGCACCCATTGTCCCCGAAAGCTCCCCACTCCATGTTGACACACATCCGCCCCTCTTCCCCATCCACCAGCTCCACGTTCCGCATCTCCTCCATGTAGCAGGCATTGCTGCCCGTGCCTGCCAATCACAGAGATGTCAGGGCCTCACTCAGCACCGTCTCCCACCCACCCGAGGCCGGGTGACCCCATGTGGGAAGGAGAGCCTAGGTCCTTACCAACAATGAGGCCAACTTCACAGTGAGGGTCTTCATAGCCACAGGTCATCATAGTCCCCACTGTGTCATTCACCACAGCCACCACATCCAGGTCAAACTCCTAAGAGGGCAAAAGCAGATCCCCAGTCCACAAATGAATCACAACATTCCCCCTCCAGACACTTGCAAGGGAGATTTCCATGAAGAGAAGACGCATACAGCATGGCTCATTCTCTTTGCACGCAGGTCTCTGCTCAAAGGTCACCTCCTCAGAGACCTTCCCTGGTTATAACTATTGAAAAGAGTGCCCCTTCCCCAGCCCACTCACTCTGTTCTCGCCCAACTTCATTTCTCGTCATAGCTCTACAGCAATGACGTTAGCTCCTGGGTTTGTTTACAGGACAAGAGTTTGTTATGGTCGTTCCTGAGTCCCCAGGGCCAAGAGCAGACTTGACACACAGCAGACACACACAAACTACTGAAGGATTATGTTACTTCTCCAGGTGACCAATTCAACCGCACTCAACACTTCCCCATGTTCTGAACACACAGGCCTTGCCGTGTCTCTCCCACCTCTCGCCGGTGGATGGCTTCCTTCAGCAGGGTGACCACGTCCTCACCCTCGCAGCCAGATGCCTTGAAACCTTTCGTCCACTTGAGGAGGATGCTCTAAAAATCACACGGGAGCAGTAGTTAGGGCATCAGAGAAGGATTCCTGGGTCATTCCCTTACACCGGTTATACAGATGCCCTTTAGGAACCAATCATCTCACCCACAATGGTTTCCCTTACTTGGATTTACTGAGTGCCTACAATGTACAAAGCTAAGCACATCTCATGCGTCACAGCATTTAATCCTCACAGCAACCTTGTGCAATGTCTGTCATTATCGTGCCCATTTTACAGGTAGCCATGGCTCTGGAGTAACTGGTAGAAGGCCTGCAGCTTGGAGAAGAGGAGCAGGACTCACTCCCAGGCCCAGCGACTCCAATGGACAGGCCACAAGCATCACACAACTGTGCCTGCCAGGGAACTAAGTTCTATAAGCTTATTTCCTTTGCTGGGAAAGGCAGTTTACCCTGGCCCCACCTACATTTACATCGAACTGAGTATACAGTGAACAAATGCCCTGCCCATAGTTGGGGTGACATCTAGGCTTCACCACCCTCCCCGTGAGGAAAGCACTCTGAGCTCCTTGGAGTTCCCCCTCAGCCCTGTCATCCTTACTGTGGGCCTGTGCCATGCCATGGGACTCTCCAGGAATAGGTAACATGGTGGCTTTGACCATGAGAGAAATGTTCAAAAGAGAAAGGGTTTTGTTCCCTGGTTCCCTCTTTGCTGCTATAGCCCATCAAAAAACAAATGTGGAAGGCCCGGCTGACGTGGCTCAGTGGTTGAGCGTTGACCTATGAACCAGGAAGTCATGGTTCGATTCCTGGTCAGGGCACATGCCCGGATTGTGGGCTGGATCCCCAAAGTGGGGTGTACAGAAGGCAGTCAATCAATGATTCTCTCCCAACACTGAAGTTTCTCTCTCCCTCTCTCTTCCTCTCTGAAATCAATAAAAATATATTAATTTTTTTAAAAAAGAAACAAAAGTGAAGGACATCCAGGCCCCCTTCCCAAGACAGCAGAATCTATAAATAGGCTTTGTGTTCTCCCAGGCCTTGTTTGGTTGTTCATGCCCACCAGCCTGGCATTTCATGGCCCAGGAGTTTGGTATCACTAGGCAACGTGAATGTGTCACTGTGTTCTGATCTGGGAGATTCAGAAAAGCAGTGCAGTCCGGCAGGTCCTGGTTTCCACACCTACATCCAAACACCTGTGTGCTAATCTCCACCCAGCTTTCTTGTCTACAAATTAACTTCACATCTCTATTAAATTCTGTATTATGGCCACTTTCAGGTTACGGAATGTTCAAATAACATTATTCCGGTGGAACTAAGACAAGCAGAGGCCCCAACAGCTGGGGAGACTCGCCCAAGGCCACCAGCCAGTCAAGGCAGGGTGAGGCCTCCAGGCCTCAGCACCCGATGATCTCACCAGAGCAGAACCCAGCCTCTGCTTTATTTGCTCTAAAGTTTTACAATTCCAGACTGAACACATGGTCCTTGTAGAAACTTAGGCCTGGAATCTGGCAATTCGGGCAAAAACAGTTAACACCAGATCAATATAAAAATACACATAACATGTTGGCATGTAAAGCAAGACAGTGTCCGTTTTAAAATACTTTAGAAGGAAAAGCCTGGAAGTATATACACTGGAGCGTTATGGTTTTATCTTCCTATTAATTGTATTTTTTGTATGTTTGTATAGTGTAGAGATAAGACTTCTCTTAACTAGTCACTGATATGAGGCAGTAAATGGCTCATAATTTATTAAATATTTCCTGACCATTGAACAATTAGGCTTGTTTCTACGTTTCATCCAATATCACGTAAATATTTATCCACATGTTTGATAATTCCCTTTGCCAAATGAATGCAAATGTGAAGGCTCTGAAAACCCAATGACACTGACGAAAATGTGCCGAGACAAAGAAACTGGAAGAGCTAAAAGCAACACTGGAGTCGTTAACACTGGACAGACGTTAACAGATACTGGGAAATGCTGGGTTAGGCAGGGTTTTTAGGGCAGATCATCCCCAAACCTTAGCTGTCTTAGTGCACACGGTGAATTTGGCTCTCAGAGGGGAGGAGTAGGAGGCAGTTACAAAACTCAGCTGAGCAACCTAAGGGTTGCTGCTCCAGGGACCCTGTAGAAAACTCGGCCCTTCTCACCACGGGGCCAAGCTCACGGAACCTGTGACTGTTCCGCCTACATGCCCTCCTCCACACTGCAGGCTGCTTGCCTTTCAGCCCTATCAACCCCTTCCTCTGACTGAGACGGCCCAAGGATTCCTCAGGCCCTCCATGCGTGTGCTCAGAATACATCATACCACGCCTCCTCGGGACTTTTGCACCCATTGGTGCCACATTCCAAAGGGCAGCTCTGGCTTCCCTAAGCTCGCTTCATCAGTCCAGTCTCTTTGTAAGCACCTAGAGCAGGATCTATGCCTCTGGTCCCTGGCACCTCCACCCACAGCATACTACCCACCTGTACCAGGCACGCAAGCTTCCCAGCAAAAACACAGAGGAACAACTGCTTAAACGACAGTATTTTGACATCTAATAGACCAAGTATGGACCCAGATCAAGCCTGAGCATCACCTACTCAGTCTCTTGACACTTCTCAACACACCCATGTCCAGAATACTTGGGAGCACCAGTATTCTCCACTTGCTTCATTCATCCAAGGGAATGAAAGCAAAGGTGAGACTAGAGAAGAGCAAGGGCATCCGAATGACTGGAGATGAATGAAAATGTCCTGAGCCCAAATCAAGAGCCTCGGGAGCAGCTGAGCTTCATTGAGAGCATGGGCTGAGGTGTCAGGACACCAGAATTCAAACCGTGGCTTGGTCGTTCCAAAGCTATCCTTAGGTTGCAAGGTCTAGGTTTTGCAACCTAAGAAATGGCGGGTTTGGATATTTGGCATCGCTATGGACCTTATTTTCCTTTCTGCAAAATGGGTGTACAAACACCTACCTTATAGGTTGCCATGAGGGTTAAATGAAATAATGTGTGTAGAAAGCCTGGCCCAGTACCTGACATAAACTGCTTGAAAAGTGTTAATATTTTGATTAGTATCCTCATTGTGATCCCAAAGATTGCTTGTTACAGCCGAGCTAAGCTAGTTAACCTCCTCCAGCTCTGACTCACTCATTCCCACCAACAGGCCCCTCCTCCCAACAGCTCATGCATGCCCTTCTTTTCCTCCTCTAAGCTCAACTTTCTGGCTGGTATACAGTCAATAAAACCCACAGCAGAGCCCTCCAGGAAGGGCCTCTTACCTCATCCAGGCTGTTCTGCTGGCAGGGGAAAGAGAAGGTGAAGCCCAGGGGCAGGGACACGCCCTTCATGCCCATGTACTCAAGGAAGTCAGCGATGCACTGGACGATATGGTCAAAGAGCTGCAGGGAGAAGCAGTGCTCTCAGGGAGGGGGCCCTTGGCCAGGGCAGGCTCCCCCCAGCAAGGCTTGAGCACGAGTGAGGCCTCCACCCAGGAGAAATGCAAGGCCAGGTGTAATCCTGAGTAAGGCCAGCCCTGGGTCCTGGCCCACCTAGTCCTCCCTGGGACCACGGTGGGCAGAGGAGGCACTGCCCTCCCAGGGAAGAAGTGGGTATCTACTGGGGTCCCCTCCCAGAGGTGTTGCCCTGCCTCACCTCGTCCCCCGTGCCGTGCATGACCTCCTGCGGGATGGCGTAGATCTTGTTGTGCATCTCCACTCCGCGCCGCTTCCCGTTCCGCACACGCACCAGCAGGACCCGGAAATTGGTACCTCCAAGGTCCAAGGCCAGGAAATCACCTTTCTCTGAAAATAAACCCAGGAAGATGATGAGTGGGGCATCACCACGTGACCACAGCACAGAGTGACAGGATCTAAAGCACCTTTCCCTAATGGGGAGGTCTCCTGGAGGGGGTGGGGGGAGCCCTCAACAACCTCAGGGGTGATGGACTGTGAGCTCCACCTAACAGTAAAGAATATAAGACCCCAGGACCAGAGACCTGCTAGCTCCTTAGTGGTTCTCAAATGAGTTCAAGTGCTGGGGCCCAGAAGTCACAATGACCTCTGCAATCACAACAGGGGAAAGGGCGACCGTGCCCTCAAAAATATCTAACATGCCATTCATGCTATGTCAAAGGCCACCTTATTTAGAATAGTCTAGACTAGAGAAGGAACGGCAGAGACATACACCCTCCTTTGTTGAGCAATCACCATGTGCTCCTCCCTCACACAGAGCTCACGCAACCCTCAGGCAGCCCAGAGAGCGAGGCACTGTGTTTCCCTCTGATGAGGGCCCACGACCCAGCTGACCTAGGGGGAGTCACTTGCTGGAGGCCACACAGCCAGCAGAGGGTGGAGAGGGGCCAAGTTCCAGTCTCTGCCTCTGGAACGTGCACCAAGTGTGCTACACTCGCTGCTCAGTGATTGTTTCCAATGAATTGGGGGGAAAAACTGCCATCATTTTGGTCGTGAGACGTAGACCAGGGGTCAGCAATATTTTTCTGTAAAGGGCTGGGCAGGAAACATTTTAGGCCTTGTAAGCCAGTCTCTGCTGCAACCACACGGCTTTGCCATGGTAATGCAAAGCAGCCATAAACAATACGTGGACAAATGGGCAAGACTGTGCAGTCATAAAACTTTATTTACAAAAATAGATGGTGGGCCAGATTTAGTCTGTGGGCCTTAGTGTGTCAACCCCTGACCTAGGGCTTACAAGAGCTGGCCCTGAACCAAAATCCCTGGGTTTGAATCCCAGCTTTGCCATTTTCCAGCTGTGTGAACCGGGCAGGTTTCTTTATTTCTGTGTGCCTTAGTTCTGTTCCAACCATAACAGTTTGTTAACAAACAAAATTAACTACTAATCTCTGTTAACAGGTAAAGATTAAATGAATTGACATGTGTTAAGTGCTCAGAGAAGTGCTTGATACATCGTAAGCATTCAGTAAGTACTTACTAAATCACCACAGCTCAAATTTTAGCCTTGAGCTTATTGAACATTAGAATTTCCTAGTACAGATGGTCCCCAAATTACAATGGTTTGGTTTAATGACTTTTTACTTTACAATGGTGTGAAAGCAATTCACATTGAGTAGAACCCATACTTCGAATTTTGATTCTTCCTGGGGCTGGTGATGTGCTATAATTCTCTTGTGATGGGCAGTGGCAGCTAGCCATGGCTCCTAGTGAGCCATGCGATCCCCAGGATAAGCAACGAGCACTCCACAGTGTATTCATGTGTCAGACGATTTTGCCCAAGTGTAGGCTAATGTACGTAAGTGTTCTGAGCACATTTAAGCTAGGCTAGGCTAGGCTGTGGTGTTCGGTAAGTTGGGTGTATTAAATGCATTTTCGGCTTATGATGAGTTTATTGGGATGTAATGCTATCATAAGTTGAGGAGCGTGTGTACTATAGTTGGAGAAACATGTTCTGGTCCAAACATCCAATGCTAAGGCTAAGGAGTTCTCCTAGAGTGTCAACACCAGGACAAAGGCCCACTGTGGTGAGCTGAGTGGCAGCCCTGCCATGTACCTGTGCCATCAGGGGTGGCGCACACGTAGGTGGGCAGCATCTTGACCGGGGCAACGGCATGAGTCTCCTTGCTCAGACCTCGCTCCATTTCTAGCTTCATCCTCTTCTTGACTTCCAGCAGCTGCTCCCGGCTCAGCTTCAGAGACTCCAAGGTCTTCTGCCGGGCCCGGTGTTGGTCGGCCAGCCGGTAGGCCACTGCTGTCACCATGGCTGCCCCCTTGCCACTGCCATCCTCGGAGCGGAGGAAGCGGACGTCGCAGTCAGGCACCAGGCGCCGCACCGTCTTGTGAAGACGCTTGGCGAAACTGCAGTCACCGAGATGGGGTAAGAAATGGGTGTCCACAGCTAGGGTCAATGGTGCTAATCGTTGGAGCATTAGCTCACCACCTCAGCACAAATGCCAAGAGGCACCTGCAGAAGCAGATCTGCCCCGAACATCCCTTCCCCACTCTTTCCCAAGTTAGACGTCACTATACAAAAGCTCAGATGTCCAACTGTGTCCACCCTGGCGGGGTCCAATGCCTGTTGAAAGGGAAGACTTTTCTAGGAAGCCACTATCCCCTGCAGGCGGTCACATAGACCTTCTCTTCCCACAGGCCACAGCTCCTCTGCCCCATCTAGTATCCTCTTTGCTGGAGAACCCAATGGAATCAGGTGATTCTGACACCAACTACTATTCATGTTTCATCATTCATTTCATTAGATGCTCCCTGGGAAAAACCCAAATCAGAAAAAGTTGAAATGCTACTCTGGACTGTGGTCTCTTTGGTCAATTTCGGCCAAAGTTTCCCAAGATGTCTGAATAGGTAGGTGTGCTCAGCAAGAAATTCGTGGGTGGTGGCTGCTCTGAGTCATGATCTCCAGGACCTCACCACTGCAGGTGTGGTCTGTGGGCCCACAGCATCCTGAACCCAGAACTTCTGAATCAGAATCGGCCTCTTAGCAAGATCCCCAGGTGATCTGTGTGCACTTTAAAGTGCTGGAAGCACTGGACTAGGAGGCCAGGGACTGAATGGTAGGGCTGCGACTTTCTGCATCAAACAGTTCGGTCAATGAAGGCCCATAGACCTGGCACTCATAACAGGCGAACACGATGGGTAAGTGGGCACAACAGAGATAGATCTTCTAGGTCCCAACTGCAACTTGCATATTTTTGCACTTATGACCCAAGGAATCAAAACATGAAGCCTTGTGTCCTAGAAAATGTTTGGATGTTTAAATCCTTAATAAAGCTCAGATTATCCGGGTGCCACCAAAAAAAAAAAAAAAAATCATGAAGGACAGGGAAGGATCAATTCAATACCCAGATCAGCCAGAGAGGCTGATAATCCACTGGGCTGGGGTGGCCCCTGGCAGAGGACACAGGATTTGAAGGGACCGTCAAGAATCATGAAAGAGCCCTGACCGGTTTGGCTCAGTGGATAGAGCGTTGGCTTGCGGACTCAAGGGTCCCAGGTTCGATTCTGGTCAAGGGCATGTACCTTGGTTGCGGGTGCATCCCCAGTGGGGAGTGTGCAGGAGGCAGCTGATCGATGTTTCCCTCTCATCGATGTTTCTAACTCTCTATCCCTCTCCCTTCCTCTCTGTAAAAAAATCAATAAAATATATATTTTTTTAAAAAGAATCATGAAAGAGTCAAAGAAGCAAAGAGAAACACTAACTCCTAAACAAGAGGGTGGCAACAAGAGCCCTCTGAGTAGTGGCCAGGAGAGCTCTGAGTAGACCCACCCCCCAACTCCAGTGGCCCGCAGCCTTCAGAAATCACCTCCACCCTCGCCAAGGACACCCTCCCAGCTCCCACTGCCTCGCTGGGAACTTTATTCTACAAAGACCCTCAACGCCACAGTCCATCTCCACCACCCAGAATGTAAAACAGAGTTGGCGCCTAGAGTCACTGGGGTCTCTCTCGAGGCTGTCAGGGGTCCGCAAGTGCTCCGGGAGCCCCATCACTGTGGGTCCCGAACGCTGACTCACTGTGGGTGTTTCTTGTAGACGGAGCCGTCCACCCCAATGGTGGAACGCAGGCGCTCCTCGCTCTTGTTCTCCTTGATGCGCCGCAGCACAGCCGCCAGGGTGGCCGCGCACAGGCTGGCTGAGCGCGTGGACACGATCTGGCAGATGCGGTGAGTGGCCACGCAGTCCTCCTGTGTCGGCTCTATGCCCAACCGCACCAGGACCTCGTGAGCCTTCCGGATACCGTCCTTCTCCCTGGGAAACAGAAAGGGAGTGTGTGGGCACATATCCAACCCACTGTGGCCAGTGGGAGAGGGATGGGGGTAGGGGAGGGGGCGGGCAGGAAACCCCGCAGCTTCAGCAAATGTCATCTCCCAGTGATGGCAGATGCCCACTTCACTCTAAATACGGTCGTGAAGGGCTGGTGCTGCGCGAGTAGCTCCCTTCTTAGGGGAACGAAGTGCCTCGCAAATTTGAGGACTTTCCTCCCCTCGGGGTTTAACGAGTAGGAACAGTTCCTTCAAGAGTTTCCATTCCCAGTCATTTGAACTGTTTCACTGCTCCCTTTACACCCAAATCACCTCCTCCTCTCCACCAGCTGGTCCCTGAGACAGGGCCTCCTCAAGCCACAAGTGGAAGTCTCAAGAACAGGAAACAAGGCCCAACTCTGGATATTGTTGAATGAAAGACAAAAATGAGGCCACCCTCACTCCCACCCCTGCTGCTCCATGAAAATGCAGCCTCCGCTCTAGCTACTGGAACTAAATGGATATCTCTCTGGGCCATCCAAGGACCGATTCTTCTGTTATGAAGCGGAGGTCAAAATGGAGTCTTTTTTGAGAATCACCAATAGAGAATGAAACGTCAGAGCTTCAGAAGGGAAAGGAAATGGATGGAAATGAGTCATTAAAGGGACAATGGGGAGCCTCTAGCATTAAGCCAAGACCCTGACCCCCACCCCACACCAAGCAGGAATGCAAGTGTGACATCTCTGAGCATGGAGGCCAGTCAGCACCGGGAGGCACTTTGGAAATCGCCACGCTCAATGGACAAGAGTGGAGACTGTGTGTTAAGTGACCTCAAACCACTGCCCCCCCTCCCATGGCCCATGTTGGGCGAGACCCTCTTGCTGTCCACATTTGAGGGGTCAAGGGCCAGTGCCCCTTCTTCACCCCCAATGGCCTGACCACTCTTCAGTAAACAGAGAGAGACCCGAAAGCTTACCCTTCAATATCTGAAACATCTTTGGTCTCAAAGCGGCCTTTGGCGAGGAGTTCGGGGCTGAGCTTCCCCCTGAAAAGCAGCTCCTCCTTGGCCATCTTCACCAGGATAAGCCTCACCAGTTCCCCCATGTACATCCCACTGATCATCTTCTCAAATCTGCAGGAAGGTACACACCAGAAAACCCATGAAATCCCTGCTGTCTGTGAGCCCACAACTTCCCCAAGGAGGCAACATGCACACATGTGGAACTCCAACAATGTTAGAGGCTGATGCACATGGAAGGGTTAACTTGTGTGGCACCACCTGGGAATGAGCTGTATGGAGGGACAGCCCAGGCAGGGTTGGAGGAGCCGGGGAGCCGGGGCTGTCTCTGCAGGCAGGTGGGCCTTGAACTGTGGAAAGGATGGGCCAATAGCAGGCAAACAAACATCCGAGGAGTGTGGGACATACTGTAATGGTCTGAAACTTCCATATAGTAAGTTACACATAAGGTAGTGAGTTTAAAAATTTTTTTCCTCTAGCAAGGAAGTGATTTTTGAAAGTGAAACCTAATGTAAAATGAACCCCAATATTTATTTACAAGAGAGAAAGGTCAATATGATTAAATTGGGGGGAGGGGTTGTAAGCCCAGCAATTCATCACCTCACACTGCCCCTGACACCTTGCAGGCCATTTGTGAATTCCTAACATGTGAAAAACACCGAGGGTGTAGGGAGGAGGAGTGATGGGGCAAGATTAGAAAAGCAGGTTGGGACGGCTGAGAAAGAGCCCAAAATGCCTTAAAGTTTCTCAGGAATATGGGAGTGAGAGATGCTGCAAGTTCCTGAGCAGGCAGGTTAGATAAGATAAAGGCATGTTTAAGAACCACCAGGGCAGGGACCCAAGCTGAGAGGGCAGTCGGGGAATTTATTTCTTCAACACTAGATGGCACTGTTTTCTTGAGATGACAGTCTTTCTGTCTCAGACTGTGATGGGAAAGGAAGCCTTTACAATTCTTCTTGGCAAAGAAGGCCCTTTCTAGATATCTCAGAAAGGATCTGGGTGCTAGGGAGAGGAGGCCCTCAGGGCCTGCAGGCACTAACTGGGCCAGGCTTCACCAAGGAGGCCCACAGCAGGGCTGGGGAAGGGACTCAGATGTCTCCTGGTGCTGAGTCCCAGGAAGTCAGGCCCTCGGGAAGAGACTTGCTCAAGACCCAAGGTCAAGTGTGGCAGAATTGGAGCTAAGTGAAGAGCTGGCTAAACCGCTCAGACAGAGGGTGCATTTGAAATGTGTGAGCGCCAGCACAGCCAACTGCCTGGGAGGCAGAGCGGCTTCGAGAGCAAGGAACTCGTGTGTCGACTTCTCTAAATAGGTGGTCCTGTGGGAAGTAGGAGGGGTGTCCAGTGGGGTTTTGAAGTGTGGGCAGATTTTTAAAGTCTTTAATTCCAGTTTTTAAAAACACTTTGTTTCCACCAATGTTTGAAAAAAAATATTTATTTAGAGACATATAAAGAGTCAAAGTTCCTCCTCAAGCCCCAAAATAACTTCGGCACTACCACGGCTGACACTGGGATATGTCCTCCGACTTTGATTTGATTTGTCTAAGGCTAAGCCAGGGGTGGGTTGCCAAGGCCGGGCTGGCAATTCTGTCTTCTAACACTTCAAAGGGCACATAGCTCCTGGGAATGGCGTGGGTTGTCTCGTCGATGGAGGCAGGCAATGAATGAGTGACTTTTCAGTCCATAAATTCCTCACCAGCCATGGCAGACATGGCCAGGTTGTTCCTGTGAAAGCTACAAGTAAATGTGGGGAAGCTTGTGACTTAAATAAATCCTGCGTCCTTGGTGAAGCCAGGGCTCTCCCAGTTAAGAAAAAGGCCCCCACTGTTGAGCTGGTTTATAGGCTTGGATTTTCCTCTCCAAGCAGAGATCAGCACTACAAGCTTTCCTGTCAGTCCCAGCAACCAGACCAGAGAGAGCCTGAACTGCTCAAGAGGTTTTGTAATTGCCTGCGAAGCTTGCAGCAATCCCTATTTCAAGATCTTTAAGGGACATTTGGAAAATGCTTGTGAGAGTGAAATAATGTTTTGTAAGAGTCAAAAGTAACTAAATACCATGTCTGGCCAGGCTGGAGAGTGTAATATTCAGGGTCCAGATGGAGCCCTTCCTCCAGTTAGTTCACCCCAGGGCCCCGGCTGGGCCACAGGTCAAGGGAAGGTGGCCAAGGAGGCCTTGGGTCTGGGTACTGCTGGGGTGGGAGGCCCTGGGACTCCCATGGGGTCCAGCTGAGCTCAGAGGCAACTCTACTGGAGCTCTAAGACAGCCTTAGCCAGTCATTAGGAGCCACCTATCACAGCCTGGACAGTGACAGGGGTGGGAGCTACAAAAAGAGTTTTCACAGACCCAAGTCTTGGCCATCTGAACACTTTTCTATGTGGCCCACAAACTGTTGCTAAAGGCAACTTGCAAATTGAAGGTGTAAAGAAAGAGCAGGGCCACTCACTTAGACTCAGAATATGACTTTCTGAAACTACTCTTCTGAAGGATAGAGCAAATTATTACCTGGTGTGTCTGCCTTCTCTGTCTTTTTTAGAGCCCCCTCAGAAATTTACAGTCACAATGTGTGTAATGAGCACAAATTCCCATGACCAATGGGCACCTTGGCAACCTTTGGGGGATATGACTGTAAAGCAAAAATGAGAACCACCACCCAGCCTGGCCAGCCCCCAACCGAACTCCTGAGCCCACTCCCCACGCCCTCTGCTCACAGTTGCTTTCCGGGGTTCAGGGAGCCCATGTCGATCTCCTGGTCAAACTCAGTACGGATGTCATCAAGCACGCCGTCGTCCCCAAAGGCCCCCCACTCCATGTTGATGCACATCCGCCCCTCATCGCCTTCCACCATGTCAATATGGCGCATCTCTTCCATGTAGCAGGCATTGCTGCCCGTGCCTGGCCAAAACAAGGGACTGTTTAGTGCATACCCACACTGTCCTCTGCCCAGCACCCATCTCCCTCTTGCCCCACCATCATGATACTGCCCAGGGTAGCTGGGATTCCTCCGAGCAGACTACTGGGCCATTCCAACATGGTCCACTCCATTAACCCCCAACTCCACAAGTACTGGCTTAGCCCTCCAAAGTGATCATACCATTCATTATCTTCCAAAATGAAGTACAAAGGGACATCCAGGTCATGGACTCCTCTTCCCTTTCCAGCCCACACCCCACTCCATTGGCCAATATCAGCCCTCACACCCAGTGCTCACGTACCCACAATGAGACCAATCTCGCAGTTCTGGTCATCATAACCACAGGTCATCATGGTCCCAACTGTGTCATTCACCACAGCCACAATATCAATATCAAAGTCCTGCAGAGGAAAAAGGAGCCCTTTACCATCACAGAAAGGTCACAGGTGTAAAGATGGAGAGAAAGAGTGGCAAGACACACAGCTCAAGAGTAACAGGGCTGCCTCCTGATTAACCCTACTCAAAACCAAAGAAAGTTATAGCTGGAAATCAGGTCCAGATCCAGTCTAACAGCTGCATCTCACTCCCTGTCCTGGAGGACTTCCCGACATCAGCCCTGTGGTCTAGTTCAAAGCCATCACTGCACTAAGAATAGCCCGTCCTGTCATCATTGTCATCTTCTCCTCTTTCTTCTTTTCCTTTACCTCTCTCTCCCTCTCTCCCTTCCAGGAAGTCTTATCTTTCTGTGACCTTTATCTTGTCCTCTCTCTAATGCGAGACATTCCACCCTAATGCGAACATCATCCCAACTTTCTTACTTGAAAATGATGGTCAAGTCTTCTTCAGGTTAAATACTAAAGGGTTCTTCTTGTACCTTGTACCATGGCTAAGATGTTTATCCATCATGATAATCTTAACCCCAAAGGTATCTGATCATTTATAAGATTCTTAGGGTGATAATTATTTTACAATATAGCCCCATTCCACCCTAATGCGAACATCATCCCAACTTTCTTACTTGAAAATGATGGTCAAGTCTTCTTCAGGTTAAATACTAAAGGGTTCTTCTTGTACCTTGTACCATGGCTAAGATGTTTATCCATCATGATAATCTTAACCCCAAAGGTATCTGATCATTTATAAGATTCTTAGGGTGATAATTATTTTACAATATATGTGTGTGAAATCATTATGTGGTGCATCTTAAACTGATACAGTTTTTCATTAAAACTGGAAAAAATAAAAATATGTATTATTGAGTAAACATAGCAGGGAAGAAGAAAGAAAACCTCACCTAAGAATCACAAAGGTCCTCGTACTGTGTTAAGGACGGACTGGGGAAGGCTTCAGAGTGGCCCCAAAAGAACCTTAAGTCCTGCCTCCCCATCCTTGCAGCCCCTACTCACCCCTCTCCTCTGGATGGCCTTCCGAATCAGAGTAACCACATCTTTGCCTTCCACACCACTGGACTTGAACCCCTTGGTCCATGAGACCAGGAAACTCTGGAAAAGAACCAAAGATTGAACATTAATTCCTCACAAAACTCAGACTACACTCCTCAAACAATCATTAGTAGAGCCCTCAGCCATGGGGCTAAACTATTGCCATGCTTGAATGTGTACTAGTATATTGCTTCCTAACTAGCATAGGAAGAAGTCCAAGCTCCATCAAAGACCCAGAAAGAAAATTATTTCTTCATGATCAACTGCTCCCAAAAGTGAAAAGGGCAGGCTATAGAACTGCCAAAATAAGGTATTTGCAACCTCTGATCAAACTCCCCAGGCATCTTTCTTTCAAAGATATTTATCACAACACTTTAGATCAAAGGAGTTCCTGACTAATTTCTCACTCCTGTGTCCCTAAAAGAGATAAGGATAATGTGCAATGTATGTGGGGTTGTGCACTGTGCTTTGAGTGTAAAGATCCCCCTTCTTCACCATCCCCCCCCGCCACACACACACCTACACACACTCACTCAGAAGCTCAGAACTCTCAATATTCAAACCTCGTCCACACAACTCTCAGAGCCACCTCCAATGCCATAGCGGCACATGGCTCAGAGTTCCTCATCCTCCCAGCCCAAAGTGTGAAACAACAGAAGTGTCTGAAGAACTCATTTTACTCACCTCATCTAGTTTCGTTTGGATGCAAGGGAATGAGAACGTAAAGCCCAAGGGGAGCTTCTTGTCTTTGATTTGTAGCTTATCCATGAAGTTAGCCAGGCATTCGGCAATGTGGTCAAACAGCTAAGGGTACACGACACAGGAAGATGAGCAGGGAGGCAAAATGGCACAGTGATTAGGAGCACACACTTGGGGCTCTGAAAGGAACTAGCTGAATGAATGTAAGGTATGCATCCCCTGTGAACTCTTTATTTTCTCAGTCTATAGCACGGGGATGCTAACCAAAAGGATTAAATGAGGCAATACACATAAGGGCTTAACACTAGTTAGTGCTTATTAAGTACTGTCTTCCACTTATCCATACCACTATCAAAATAATCCCATGAGGCAGGGGAAAGCACAGCCAGAGCTAATCAGAAAGTCACTGCATGCCCTAGAAACAGAACATCCTTTGGTGGCCTTGTCAGAACCCATCCCCCACCCCCCCTTGACATTGATGCACAGCTGAATGCCTTACCAGAAAGGGCAGCCCATCTCAGTGCCAACAAGTATTTTAACATCCCTGTCTCCTCTGATTGGGAGAGTGGGTGGGACATTCTCTGTTGGCATTCTATGAAGAGACTTAACAAAAATAAGTAACTTTTGCCCTAGCCGGTTTGGCTCAGTGGATAGAGCATCGGCCTGCAGACTGAAGGGTAAAAAAGTCAAGGGCGCATGCCCAGGTTGCGGGCTGGATCCCCAGTAGGGTGCAGAAGGCAGCTAATCAGTGATTCTCTCTCATCATTGATGTTTCTATCTCTCCCTTCCTCTCTGAAATCAATAAAAAATAAATAAATAACAAGTAACTTTTATATTTTGTCTCCATTCTAGAAAGCTAATTTCTTGGGGGCAATTCAAACAAGTTATCTTTGCTTTCTAAAAAAAAAATGGAACACCTGCCCTAGCCAGTTTGGCTCAGTGGATTGAGCGTCAGCCTGCGGACTGACGGGTGCCAGGTTTGATTTTGGTCAAGAGCACATGGCCAGGTTGTGGGCTCCATTCCCAGTGGGGGGTGTGCAGGAGACAGCCAATTAATGATTCTCTCTCATCACTGATGTTTCTATCTCTCTCTCCCTCTCCAAGAAAAAAGAAAAAAAAAATGGAACACCCAATGAGCCGGTGAAAGGCACTGAAGAATAAATAGAATTTTTTATTGGTGGATGGACAGCCTCACAACCATGACTATACTAAGCAGGACTGGCAGCAACTGGGAAAAATCCTAAACTTAAGAAAAACCTGTATTGACAATTGCCCGGGTTTCAATCAGTCCCAAAGCTCACAGTCCCATGGCTTCCTTCTTGCCTACTCAGCATCCTCGCTGGTGACCCCTCCAGATGTTTAGAGGCTGAGGCCAGGGTATTCTGGTACAAAAAGTAAGCAGAGGCCACAGAGATTGAGCAGATTCCAAGGGCCAGGTTGACAAAGATGACAAAATCTAAAAGCTAAGGGGATGAAGGAGAATAACATTTTCCTCCCCAGACAGAAGTGAGGAAGATTCCACTGAACAAGCTGTTCCCAAAGTATGATCTGGAACCAGCAGTATTATTACCCTCCAGCTGATCCTGAAGCAGTGGTTGGAGAACCATTGCACTAAACCAGAAAAAGTATTTGCATTTGTAAAGGAACTAAAGACATCCAGGTGACAGGCTAGGTCAGTGGTTCTCAACCTTCTGGCCCTTTAAATACAGTTCCTCATGTTGTGACCCAACCATAAAATTATTTTCGTTGCTACTTCATAACTGTAATGTTGCTACTGTTATGAATCGTAATGTAAATAACTGATACGCAGGGTGGTCTTAGGCGACCCCTGTGAAAGGGTCGTTCAACCGCCAAAGGGGTCGCGACCCACAGGTTGAGAACCGCTGGGCTAGGTGGAGAGGCCTATTGGCTCCCCAGATATCTGGGATATCTTAGTGGGAGGGATCCATGAAGACAAGGCCACACTTATCTAGAAGGGAGCCAGCTCTAACTGAACTTCCTGCACGGATCCTGTCCCTCCATCTGATCACCTGCAAGTCACTTCAGCTGAGTCTGAACCAAAACACACTCAAGAGCAAAGGCTCCTGAGAGACAGGGCCCTCTCACTAAGAGGTTCACCTACTCACAAGTGCCAACTCCCTTGAGCAGAGGTCAAGTATTTCAATATGTAAATAGGGTTTCTAGACAGCTAGTCAGAAAGTTCTGTTCTTTTGTTGGACAGTCAATCATAGACAAAATTTATGATATGGTTAAACAAACTCCCAGCACCTTCTTCCTGGTACTCTAGTCAAAATGATCTTTAATACAAATAGTCCTTATTTAAAAAAAAAGGAAGTTAAGAACTGTGCAAAGAGATCAAAGAGATGAGGCCAATCATCAGAGCTGGGGGAGCTTTAGAAAAGGTAAAAACAAAATGGGTTCCCCTCACCCAGCCCTGCTCACTGTTCCTGTTCCAACTGCCCTGCCAACAGGGGAGGCAGAACAGAGAGAGAGGCAGTGAAGAGCATTAAATAATGTGCTGCTCAGTATAGCAGTCACGAACCATCTGTGGCTATTTCAATGAATTAGAATTTCAAAAATTAACCCTTTGTACGCCATAAGCATCTATAGACGCAAAGATGGTTTCCGGTTTGGATGCGTGGCAGTTAACTGGTTAAAAATCCACTTCCTCAGTCATGCTAGCCACATCTCAAGGGCTCAATGTCACCGGTGGCTTGTGGCTACTGTCTTGTGCAAGCTGATGAAGAACAGTTCCACTGTTGCGAAAAGTTCTATTGGACAGTGCTGTGTTGGAAGAACCTACACCTCTCTACAAGTGGGGAAGAGGAGACCATGTGCTTCCTTCATTAGAAGACTATCTCCTTTTCTGTTAGCTGATGATCTGAAGATAAGATGCTGAGAGAAAGAACTACTACCTTCCTGCCATAAAAAGGCTCAAAGGGCATCATTTTATGAAGTTAGAAAGGTTTCCTTTTCTTTATTGGCCTGAGAATCTGCTCACTTCCCTCCCCATAAGATACACTTAACAAATCTAAAGAGGCTGAGAATCATGGCTGGTCCATGGCCGTGAACCATCGGCCAGATATTTCTGGTGTGGTGGCAATGAGTGTCCCCTCTATAGGAGGGCTCTCCTGGGGGAACCTTTGAGAGGGAGAACCCCCAAAGGGCCTACCCCACAGGATCTCAAGTCTGCAGGAGCACCAGCCCCTTCAGGGTGTACCTCCTACATTGGGAGCAGAGGACCCAGGGAGCACCACTCATAGACCTCATCAAGTGGCCCACAAAGTGGACAGAGCCCCCTTCCTCCCACCAGAGTTGTGAAAACACAGGCTCTAGTCATGGATCTGGCTTTGTGTCTTGCCTCTGGCCCCTCCCATTTCTGTGATCTAAGGCCAAGTCACTCCTTTTTTCAAAGCCCAATCCCATATGTATAAAGTGGAGATAACAGGAGAACCCAGCCTCATGGGGCTCATGTGAGGATAGAATGAGAATATCCATAAAGTGCTTTTGCTCAGACAATAGGTCATCGCGTACCAGCTCCTCCTTCTGATGGTTACTTATCCCCTTCAACACAACATTACTGCTTTCTATGGGGGTTGGGAGGGGGGCAGTTCCTGGTGGTCCAGCTGGGCTTTAAGCCCTGAAGTAGAAAAGGCAGGACTTTGATTCCCAACAAGGATCAATGCACAAAGCATAGTAGGTGTTCAGTCCATGTTTGAAGACTACCTTGATGGCAATCCCATCCTTGTACATGTTTTTCTATTACTGAGAAGATCCTTACTTGGATTTCACATTTCTTCTCCAACCACTTCTTTTATTGTGGGGATTCTGAGCACAAAACATGGCTCTAGAAGCCACCAAGGTATGAGGATAACTAAGCATGACTTGGGGGTCAATGCAGAAACACATGGTGCCCAGTGGGATGCCAGCTGGGGCCGATGCCCCAAGGCTTAATTTTGATGTTTTCTCAACAGGTTCCCATCCTTGCGTGCAAAACCTTTTCTGTTTTAGATGGTCAAGGACAGAGAAGGCCAATAACCACAAAAGCAAAGGGGCAGGTTCCATTTTCACGTGATGATATGATGACAACTGTGAGTCAAAGGGGCTGCAGAGTGACCACAGTGGCGGGTGGCAGTGTCAAACCACAGTTGTGTATTCCCTGGCTCACCATTCAGAGGTACCACTAACAACCAGTGCCCAGGAGTGTGGGCCCAGCCTCCTGACAACAGGCTTTCCTCAACAACCAGCATGTGTGAGCAGACTCAAAACCCTTCCTGCTGCAACACATCCAGACCCCAGGGCCTCATGCGCATGCTCCGGACCATGTGCACCTCTCCTGAGGGAGGCCCCCACTCCGCTTCCAGGCATGGAGGGGATCACCATGCAGAGAGAGGTCAGGGAATCCAAGCCCCAGCTGGCTCTCCTCCCTCCAGACACAGGAGGAGCAGTGTCCGCTCCTGTGGGGCCCAGAGCCCCCGGGCCGCTGAGAGAAGGTTCGGACCTGCGTGCCGCTGCCGCGCATGATGTCTTCGGGGATGGCGTAGATCTGGTTCTCCATCTCCACCTTCTGGAGCCCATTGTCCGTCACTCTCACCCGAAGCACGCGAAAGTTGGTCCCTCCAAGGTCCAGAGCCAGGAACTCTCCATGTTCTGCAGACAGGAAGGGCCACTCTTAGTTAACAGAGACGAAGACTTAAAACCCACAAGTCCTGCCATAAACGGAGTCCTTTATACCCATGGAGTCCTTAAAACCCATGCGATCATAAATACTGGTCATCTCTGGTAATGGGGTGTAGGACCCGTCTTAATTTTTTCTACACACATTTATGTACTGAGTCTTTTTCTTAATGCTAAGCACTTTTATCTTACTTTTAGAATTCACATAAACCATGAGGCAGTTTCACATCCAATGATGGGGCACCCACCCCCTCACAGAGCTATTTCCCAGGGTTTTCCAGCCAAGTCCACTTCGAGCTTGTGGGGCCCATCCAGCCCTGCGCCAGGAGTCCGGGCCTCCGTTTTGTTCTTCATGCCCCCAGGATACCCAGCACGCTGCTACAGGCCTGGGGGCCCCTGGGCCTTCTGCCAAATTGTGATCCCTGTCCAAATTTACTTTTAACGTTCACGTACAGTGACAGCAATATATGAGAGAGTCACATGATGGAGTGGGCTGCGGCCCAAATGGCTATCAATTAAGGGGCCTAGCAAATAAGCTAAGCAGGTGCCCCTCAAAAAAATTCCAGGCTCATTCACATGTGAGAGAAGGCTGACCCAAGAGTATGTGAAACAAGTCAGGCCAGTGGGGCTGTTCCACTCAGACCAGCCACAGAGCTGGGGCGGCCGGGAAGAGGGAATCTCCACTGTACAGTGGATCAAGATCCTCAGGTGTCACCAGGAAGGCAAAGTCCCTCCCCACTGGAAACAAGCAGTGCACACAGAAAACATCCCGATTGTCGGCGGTGATACAGCTGGCTGCAGGGACCTGCTCCACTGTATGGCACAGAATGGAAGTGCTGAAGAGGTGCAGAGGCCAGAGCCAGGGCTGGGGGAGGGAGCTGGGCTCACCCCTGGGCAGCCTCCTCCACCAGCAGCCTCCTCCACCGTGAGGGCTCCACCCGTCTCCCACTGCCCTGCTGCACACCTTCTCGAAGGACACAGGGTTACTTCCTCGGGATTCACTGATTGGCATGTTTGTCAACACCACCCCTTCCCCGATGGGAAACTGCCACTGAAGTACGATGGAATAGGTTGGAGGGCCAGGGAAATGAACCACCCAGGTTTATAGTGTGCAAGCCCCCTCAGAAGCTCACTCTCAGGCCCTAAGAAAAGCCATGTGTGCCCGGCTCCCTGAGGGCACTCCCCACGCCCCTGACAGCCCATGGGATGGACATGACCCACCCAAGGTTCCATGGGGACTCGCCTCCACACAACCGTGGTCTGGTGGTTTGATACACAGAGAATGCCAGAATTGGAACCCACATTCCTATGGCAGAACTCTGGCCCCGTTTTGGCCATGGCAACTTCCTGAGCCTCAGCTGCCTCATCTCTAAAATGGCAACATCAGACACTGTGTGGTTGTTGTGAGGGGGAAGCTAGAAAATGTGCCTCAGGCACCCAGCACAGGGCCAAGAACTTGAGACACACAAAATAAGTAAAGGAAACTTTCCATCCAGGCTCCCAGCAAACACGGCCCGATGCCCACACTCGAGCATTCCAGGCCCAGTGGTAGGGTTGCCTTTCAGACTGAACAGTCACATCAACATCGCGGGGGAGACTGAAGTGACCTGTCCAAGAAAAGCCACTGGAATCTGCTCCCGTGACTTGGGCATTCCTCCACAGGGGTGCAAACTTTCTGTCCCCTCCCTGGCATCTAGAACCCCCTCCTGCTTTACTACCTAGTTGTTAAGTAGCTGGGACAACGTCAGCCCCACCTGGCCATGGGCGACACTTCCAGGCACTCCATTCTGAGCCTCCCCAAGTAGCAGGACCTCAGCCAGATTGTAGGAAACACTATGTGTGGTTGCATGAGGGATTAAAAAAAAAAATCAAAGATGAACTGCCCGCATCAGCACTCTGCAGCCGGACACACACCACCTGCTGAATCGGCAGCCACGGGGCACTGAGGCGGCAGAGGCTGCCGCTGGCTGATCCCGATTCCAGGCCAGGCCAGCTCAGTTCACTGGAGGGACGGACGCATCTCCATCAAAAATGGTGGTTTTGCCCTAGCTGGTTTGGCTTAGTGGACAGAGCGTCGGCCTTCGGACTGAAGGGTCCCGGGTTTGATTCTGGTCAAGGGCACAAGTAGGGGGCGTGCAGGAGGCAGCCGATCAATGATTCTCTGTCATCATTGATGTTTCTCTCTCTCTCTCTCTCTCTCTCTCTCTCTCTCTCTCTCTCTCCCTCTCTGAAATCAATAATATATAAGAACGGCGGTTTTGCAATAGTATTTTCTAATGGACTGAAGGGAAACCACAAATAATAAAGTACTGCCAATAGTTCTGTTCCCAGGTCAGAATGTCATCTTTGCTTTCTCTTCAGAATCCGCTGAAACAGACATTCCTCTGCATCCCTCCTCCCCAGCACCACCTCCACACGCACCACTACCACAGCCAAGAACTTTCTTCTTTCCAAAGTTTGCAACCTCGGGGCAGGCCCAGCACCAGGATTCCTGGAGTTAAATCTTCAGGTGACTCCTCGAGGCCGTGAACAGATCCATCTCCTAGTGCTCACCTCCTCGCCCCACGTGGGACAGTGGCTAAGAGCTGGGCCTTACAGACGGGTGGGCAGACTTCGTTTTGAATTCCAGCTCAGCACTGTCACCTTCCCTGTAGAATGGGGCTCACAATGCTGACTTCTCCTGGGGGTCGTGAAGCTTCCATGAAATACAGGACATGTTGTATGTGAATATATAGGGACATAGTAACTCGTCAATAACCCTCATCGTTATTACTCCTTTGTGTGACTATGTAGCTCCCCTCCTAGTTCTTTTCAACCCCTCCAATCCCTTCCTACTCCCATTCCTACTCCTGGCTCAAGTTCTATCTCCACTGTGACCCTTCTGGGACATTCCAGAAGCCCAGAACGGACAGTGAGCGTGTGATGGGGCGTGAAGGAGGATTGCATCTAGGAACCTGGGACAGTCACACTGGACAGGTAGGAACAAGGCTCTGGGGCAGGAAAACATGCCAATACCAGGTTTCTTAAGAAGGTAAAAGGCCCCCTGGCTGGTTGAGTGTCATCCCCATGCACCAAGAGGTCGCTGGTCTGATTCCCACACAGGGCACATGTCTGAATTGCAGGCTCAATCCCCAGTAAGGGGCGTGCAGGAGGCAGCCAACTGAAGGTTCTCTCTCTCCCTCTCCCTCCCTTTCTCTCTCTCAAATTAATAAAAACCTTTTTTTAAAAACAAAAACAAAAGAAGAAGGTATAAGGCCACATGGCAGAGGACCCAGTGAGGACCAGAGAGATCATTCTGATTGATCGCAGTTGGTATTTGAGGCAATGTACGAAGAAAACATCTCATACGGCATTTGCTCATTGTTAAACGAAATATTTGAGTGTCAAATGTGGGATTTATGCGAGACCCTCAGATCAGAGGTAAGGTTTCCTTTGTTGTTAAGTGTGCTGTTGTGTCTTGGAAACAATTTTACCTTTTTAAAAATAACAAAATACAAACATCTGATAAGAAAAAGCTCAAATGGTGGAAAAGTGGAAAAATGAAAACCAAACATCTCTTTTCTTCTCTACACCCAGGAAGTAATCACCATTAATGTTTATTGGGTGTCCTTAGATATAGTTATTTTATCAAGACAGGCAAGGCTGTTAACTGACATTCCAAGAAAAGAGTTTGAATTTCTTGTTCTAAGGATGTGTTTTTAATTTGGAAGATATCGCCCAATGACCTTCCTGAAAGTTCTCTCCAATTTCCAGACAAACCAGCAGGTGGGATTCACTCCCACCAGTGGCCCACGTTATGCAGCCATTAATCTTTGCCAACCTCCTAGGTCTAAGTGGCATCTCCTTTCTTAAACTTGGTTTCCTTCTTTTGTGTGAGGTTAGACATTTTGAATTATTAAATGGCCTTTTGGATTCCTTTTTCTGTGCATTTTCTATTCACATCTTTTGCCTTTTTTTAAAAAAGAAATATTCATCATTTTCTTAATAACCTAAAAGAGCTCTTTGTATATTAAGGAAAATAGTTTCATTGGTTGTATATTTGCAATTACTTTTTCCAGTGATACTTGTCTTTTTAATTTTGTTTGTGGTATTTCTGCCATTCAGAAATGTTTATTTTTTATGGTGTCAAAATATTTCTGGTTTCTGGGTTTTAGGTTATGTCCCAAGAAATTCTGAAGATTACATTAGCTCACGCTCTTTCTAAATCTCTCCAATTCCTCCAAATGTGGTCACTACCACTGCTAAAGTAAAGGAAGCAAGGTTTCACCATCGGTTTGGTTAAAAGATAAAATTCATCTTCCACTTTATGCGACTGTTTTGAAAAATGAAGCGAAGAACCGTGTCTTTGTCTCTCTTGTCCCTAGGACAGAGTCCAAACTTTCTCCCTGGCATCTGGATTATTGTGAGAATAAAACAATGGAAGACAGAGGCAGGTGTGAGGGAGATGTAGTTGATCGAAGGCTCAACATGCAGGTGTTTTTTAATGGACGAGAAACTAACATTTGTTAAGTGATGGTCAATTTGTCTATAAACTTTATCTCGTCAATCCTCAACAACCCTGTTGGGCATTGTAATCCCAACTTTATGGATAAGAAAACCAGCCTTCAACTCCAGGTCTGGCTCTCCAGCAAAGCTGTCTCCAGCAATGAGCAAGGAGGCTGCCCAAGGGGAAGTTGTCAATCCTTAAATAAGGAAATCTTCACTCACTACGCCAAGAGCATAAAACCCAAAGGTTACCAGCAGTCTCCAAGCTGGCCTGGGTGGCAGAGGAAGTGACACTGTGGTTCATAAATTGAATCACTTAGTTAGGGTCATGCAGGGGTCAATGGGAATTGGCTAACCCCAAAGCCCATGCCTGTCTCTCTGCACCACACCCACATCTCTTGTGGCCCTGATTCCTGGAAGCTGAGGATGGCTCAGCACAGAATCCAGGATGGAAGCAAATGAGCCATAAAGTGGTAAAAATGAAAGCA